CAGACTAGAATCCTCCAAAGCCAACAGCTGGATTAGCGCACGTGGCTCCCGGGTAGTTCAGATGATCTCGAACCAGCTTAGTCTTGACTCCCCTTGCTAACGAGACTGACCGGTCATATGCACGGTGCTAGGCCATGGTATAACGTGGTGAATAGAGGTATTTCACAAGCGACAGCAGTTTCAACAACTCTGCCGCTAATCGCGACGCCCGCTTGATGGAGCAGAAAGACAAGCGGTGATGTTGATGTCACACAGTTTCGTATATCTTCAGAGAAACGCAACTCCCTGGCGCATCATCACAGCATCTGCTCAATGCGAGAAGTTGACGTCGAGCCTACGAAATCGCAACTCTGAAACTTCATTTTGTTTAGCCCAAACAGTGACTTGGTTATCTAGGTAGGTACCTTAGGTACTGACGAGACGTGGGCGTCATAGTCACGATAGTGGCGTCGCCCCTGAATGGTTTCCGAGTTCACTATCACTTCTCAGCTCTCGTCGCGATCAGACCTCAACAACCATCGCTTAAAAAGCAAAGTACATCAAGATGAGACGAACGATGCCGTCGCTACATGCAGTGAACTTACATACGGCCAGGTTAGAGAGATTCTTGCATTACGGGATGTTTCGTTTCAAGTCTGTTCGCCATGTTTGATGTTCGTTCTAGCGGGGTGCCCTAGTTGCGGCGCAGACAGCTCACTAGGTATCCTTACTGGCCAGTTGAAGGATTGATTCCTAAAAAGGCCGCCTGAAAAGTACCAACGCCTTGGTTCCCATCTTCAATGTTCCCCTTATTCAACTTTTGTCCAATACCAACACGGATAGCACGTTGAATCCTTCCATACCACCCACGTCGAAAAAAAAAGGACAACTATCAACATCAGACGAACTGAAGGAACAAAGGTCCCCTAACTACCACATGTGGGTGACTAATCGTCGTCGAATCTGGCGCAGATGAAACATCCCCTAACCGACCGGAGCATTAATAGCAAAACTTAGGATCTCCGGCCACGTTTACCATCCTGCCATCCTAGCACGGTCCATTCCGGCCTATTTCCACTAGAAGCCGGAAGATTTGCAGGTGGGGTACCGACATGCCGGATCCGACGAGATGCCCATCATTACCAAGACGTTCTGATATCGACAGGGAGCTTATAGTGGATAAGTCAGGCTAAAGGTCCAGGTAATCCAGAGTTGAGCCTCGAGCCTTGTCTCGTGCCCCTTACATGCCGCTGACGGGCATCGCAATCCTGCTACCACTGGTGCCCACCCTTCATTTAATTGCTTTTTCGTGCTTCTCGCACCGCTGTCAAAGCAGTTGGGATGCAGAATTGACTGAACTTTGCCCTCACCGACCATCTGTTATCGTACCAGGCCTCCTCTCTACACCACCATATTCTCTTAAGGCGGCCTGCCTGCACCGTCATGGACACCAGCGCGGCAACCGACGCAATCCGCACCGCGCGGATCATGCTCCATGCCGCTCGTATCGGCACGCTGCTACTATTTACGTTTCCTTCCCTGCACCTCACCGGCCAAATAGCCGTCGGCCGCATTCTGTCCTACATGTCAGGCGCGTCCTCCGTCCGCACTAATAGACACTAATGGCGCAAGTATGGCCAATCAACCCAAGATGCGTTGGTTGTCCGCGCTTAAGGTCACGACTGTGGATGCATTTGACGGCCTACAATACCCGTCCTCCTACAGCTCTGCCTAGGGACGGACGCACTTTGTGCATATGCACGCTGCGATGATAGAGTGTCTATACGCTCAGCTGTCATGATGGCGATTGTCATCGCTTCGGCGGTGTAGCTGGGTCGCTTAGACGGCCGCTTAAGCGGAGCATACTGGGGATTCTTATGTCGGCCCTAATCTGCAGCTGTGGACATCTGGTCTTCGGCTTTCATCGTTAGGAGCACATGATCCGGAGCCAATGCAGCCGAGTAGGAGATGGCCCAAACGTGCCTGTTCGTTGTTGGAGTAGATTGTCAGGCTTTCCAACAGGTAGGTATCTGACACGTCCACCCTAGCCCGGTGTTCTATGCTTTACGCCTTCATCGGCGGTCATAGCCTGATTACTACGGAATGTCTATCCCAAATACTTACTCTAGGTCCTTTCCGCTGCGTTATGCCATGGTCAGACCTTCCAAGTAGCGTATACCATCATCAACACTCCCCTTTGGACAGTAGGTCCGAAACTTTCTGGTTCTGCTGTTCCAGTTACTTACACCAGGCAGACTATCGAATGTATTACTAGATCACCGAGGGCTTCATGGTAAGAGTGTTCCACCTCGCGGTAGTCTGCCTTAAGTGTCAGGCTTTGAATCGACTTGTAATCAACAATCCTGTTCCTCAGCTCAGTATCAAGGGGTAATAGATAAATGGATCCGGAATCAGCCTGCTACGCCGAACCCTAAGTTGTCGATTCTTAGAGACTGTTCCGTGGAGGGTATATAAAAGCTCTACAGTCAATTCCAGTAACACCTCTTAGAGTAATCCGTGTTGTTTGCCGAGTGCTATATACCTACGCGCTACAATTCTTTTACGATACCCAATCCGCGAAAGCCCCATAGCGCCGAGTAGAATCCAGAGCCATAATCATGCACTTTTCAGCTTCTTCGCAGCCTCAGCTCCCGCGATCCGACCGAATACAGCGCACTCAAGCAGTGACGAACCGCCGAGCCTGTTCGCGCCATGTATGCCACCAGTTATCTCTCCCGCAGCCCAAATACCCGGGATAGGGGTCAACGTGCCGTCCTCACTCGAGCGTAGGACACGTGCTTGTGGATCGAAAGCCACTCCTCCCATCGTGAAGTGGACTACAGGCGTCACTGTGCCGACACACACCTCCTCATCCCGATTCGCTTCGCCTGGCGGAAGCTTCCAGTGGCCAAAGGCCTTTCTTCCCAACGAATCTCCGCCGTGCTCTGAAACTAGAGTAGCATATTTATCAACTGACGCGATGACCTCCGGGGACAGGTCTCTGACTTTCTTCTTCTGCACGAGACCTTTCCAGAGGTAGAACCCAATGTGAGACGCCACGGCTTCACATGCGCCCGGATCGAGAAGGAGGGTGACTCCCCATTGCCTAGTCTTGTCGACCGTCGAATGCGGTAGGGCCATGATGGCGCCGCTAACGACGTCTCGGGTTTCCAGCTCGTTAATAAACCTTTCACCGGTGCCAGAAAGCAGGATTCCGCCTTCACCTCGCAAAGCCTCTGCGGCTAGGAACTTGTATGCTGCCCCAGGGTCCTTAGGATCAACGAAGCCCGTCGGATGTATCTGCACGCTATCCATGTCGACAAACGCAGCACCTATCGCAGTGAGCAAGCCATGGGAAGCGGGACGCGCCTCGTTTGTGGAAGGGATACCGGCAAGGTCGGGACGGTACTTGGACAAGAGGCCGTGCGCATCCCCCGCGAACCCTCCAGTCGCAAATACCACCGGGCCTTCCAGCTCCCGCGACTGCCCGTCTTCTGCGTGGTAGCGTACCCCCTTGACTGCATTCTCACTCGTAAGCAGTTCATCGACCTCCGCTAAGTTCTCGAGGGTAAAATTTGCGTTGGCTTTCAGCTCATCCACCAGCGCCGACACAATCGCCGCTCCGGGGGGCAGTTTCCCTCCGCCTCGGTGCGTCCGCGGGACTGAGTGACCGCCAAGTTGCGCCACTACACTGAGGTCGACTTTTAGTTCGTCGGCAAGCCAGTTCACGGCGCTCTCGGAATGGCTTGTCAGGATCTCGATCAAGGCCTTACGATCAACGGGAGGGCTCGTCTCGGTGAATCTAGCTCCAGCCGAGCGCACCGTGTCCGAAAAGAAGCTATCGTCTTTGGCAATGCCAAGTTCCCTCTGAAAGCGCGTACCCGCCCCGTTGATCCCGGACGAGGCCTTGATGCTGTTGCCGCCGGGCTTAGGGGCGCGGTCGAGCATGTGCACCGGCGCCCCCGCTTTCAGTGCCTCGTGCGCCGCGGATAGGCCGGCAAGGCCGGAACCCACGACGATAACGGGTTTTCTTGCAGGCGTCGTCATGGTTGTGAATAGGGAGTTGGATATGCGGTGTAGGCCCAGAGCGGAGGTGCTAGGCCGCAAGAGGATCATACATAAGATGGCGGTGACGAAGCCGACGAGGAAACAGAGAAGGGAGAAACAGCAGCGGTTTCGTCGGATTCTCATAGGCATATTCAAGTAGAAGCAGTTTAGGAAGTGGATCTAGGTACCTATACTAATTAATATGTCATTTTTTACCTACGAGGCGGGACAACAAGGTTGGCGTCGATGCGGATGACAAGCGCGGTCGTATGATGCTGACGGCATCGTATGATAGGTGGGATGGGACGGGAAAGCGCCACGGTCAGCCAGCAAGGTCGTCGTCACCCTCGTCACCCTCATCACCCTCCGTACAGGCACGTAAAATGTAACGTCCGTACCGCAGGGAAACCGAAACCGGGTGCCGAAGATTTTTTTTTTTTGGGGGGGGGGGGGGCTTGTCGGAGAGAAATGTACATATTATTCTATCCGAGCCCAGTCGAACCAGCTAACCTGTGTGAGTGCACACGTACATGTATCATTATACGACGCTCTAAACATGACTTTGGTGCTTTTGGACAGAACGAACACCAGAATGGTATTTCGAAATCCGTCGCCGCGAAACGATTGAATACGCTTTCGCTATATTCCGTGGATTGACTGAATTCATCTTTCGCTACTGTTATGCCTTCTGGCCAGCCCCAAATTTCGTATTGTTAGTATATTGGGACATGCTCAAGCTGCCAAGGCCAATGTGCTGCCGCTGGCCACGACGACTGCGACAGTACTAAGACGCAGCAAAAGTTCATCAAGCCATCCATGTATTTCAAAGATACGATGCAAAAGCCCAGATGACAAAATAACAAATGAATAATAAAGAAGCAGAACGACTTGTATCTAGGTAGTTACCACCGTTGTAAGGGTGAGCAGGGCAGCAATGTATTCCGCCCACACCTATTACAAAGGCCAAAAAAGAACTCTCGATCGGGGAATTGAACCCCGGCCACCTGCGAGCTCGATCAACACGTAATTAGTGAGATGACAAGCAGGTATCCTAACCACTAGACGAATCGAGATTGGAATCTTGTTCTCCTGCAGCGGAGCTGAGATGGAAGCTTGCATAAGATAAGGTCACATATAAGCGTGTGCATTCGGTGCATTTACATGAATACATATTGGCTGCCGTGGGTGGATCTTAGGGCAACGGAGATATCCGAAAGCGACTGTCGATATTTTACATATCTGCCTATGTACCTAAGTACCGAGCCTGATCTTTCTCACTTCCGTACATGTATGTACCTACCTATCCGTGACGTTGACGCCTTAATAACACAATCCATTCCATTTCCCCCTTCCCCCATTAACATCTCGAAAATCGTTTAGAACGTCGTCTGGAGCTTGGGATAGTCCTTAGCGTGAGCGTGCAGATCCGCAAAGATGGCCGTGGAGTCGTCTCCCTGCAGCCCCTCCATGCGGTGAGTATCTTCATCCTCTAGCTTCTCAAGCTCCTCTATGGGTTTTTTTTGACCCTCTTCTTGTCCTTTCTGAGGTTCGGTGGCTTTTTGGATGCCGCTCGATTCGCCGATTAGGAGGAATTGGGTGTTCGGGAAGTCGAGGTGCTTAGGCTGCGTCGCAACCCACCGCAGGGCCCTGAATTCATCTAGTACTCTGGAAAGGAGGCTATTAGCAACCGTGCGTTCTTTCATTAGTATGACCGTAGCACGCTGTGGACTTACTCCTTAGGATATTCTGGGCCCTTTGGCAGGGCAGTCCCCTTCGGAGCTTCGTAGTTTGGATTTCTGGTGCTGATAATGAAGCTCCCTTTGTCCTTCAGCCCGATCTCCTTCTGTACTTCGCCCAGCTCCTCCGGCAGGGTAATCATGTACGCGAGGTGGCTCTCGCGGCCGGTGCTTGTGATAGCGTAGACACCTTCTGCAACCGGAGCAGCAGCAGGATTGTGTCGCACACCGGCAGTCTTAGTTGTATAATCGGAAGCCGAAATGAACTCGTCCTTCAGCGTCTTGAATGAGGTATGCGACTTCTCGACAAAGGCGATCCACCTATCCCGACCGCTTGACGGTAGGACTTTCTTGGGAACGGCAATCAAGCGGCTGTTACCCGCATCGTCGAGCGTGCCTTCGCCGAGCTTCGCGTCCTTAGCGATAGGACGTAGGACAATGTAGCTGCGGCGGATATCGTCTACACTACTTGGCTCGTCGATGCCCACCCTGCCGCGAATGAAGAAGTATATGATGCCCTTTTCCAAGATGTTGGATGGGATGACGCCTTCTCTTGCTCCTTTCTCCTCGGCTGATCCGTTCTGATGTGTCTTCTCCTGAGCCTCTGCTTTGTTCTTATCTCCATTCTGGTCGAGCCCATCGTGCTTATCCTTCTTTTCTTTGTTCTCCCCATTGGAAGGTGACTGATTCTTGCCGTCACCGTAAGCTTCAGTCGGACTAGATCCAGATCAGCAACATGTGTCGCGCAAGACTGTGGCGTTGACTTACCTTGGGATGGTATCTTCAATAGTCTGCTGTTTCTTACCGTCCTCCTTCTTGGTACGCTTGGATGACGGCGTTGTCTTCGTGTCGAGCTGGTGCTTGGAGCCTACGCCTTCGCCAGTCTCGTTCTTTGAGCCAGGCTCGGCTTTGGCGCCGGATCGAGTAGTAGTCATGGTGCTTGATTCGTAGAGCTCTGACGAGGGATGGACGCGATAGGGCGAGTCTCGCAGTTAGATTACCACTTATACAAATGGTCAATGGCGATGACGTGTGGTGCGTAATGAGGAGCCAAGATGGCTAACTGTTTGTGAGGAAGGTACATGAAGATATATACCTTGCAAGGTGAGCGAGTTTGATCAATTGACTTCTGACATCAGACCTTGAGCTTGATATGCTCAGCTTGTCAGCTTGAAGCGAAAGTTTACTGTCGGCTTGGGTCAGTCTGATGTCATTGATCTGATTGCGGCTGGCGGGTTCAGGAACCAAACAGGGAGCTTGGGCCATTCATGACGATAGCTGCTTTCCTCTTTCGGTAAGTGAGGTGATGATGATGTATGTCGTGCAGTTTTTACCGAACTCTATAGCTCAGGAAACTGGTACAAGCGTGCATCCGTTAATTTAATTGCTATGCAGCAAGACTGTCACATTCGAATATCATTATGTACATTAATTGAGGCAATCAATAACTGATCGAATGCTACACTTGTGCTTAGAATTCGATGCAAGAAATCAAAAGCTGGAATTCTCCGTTACTGGGCAGCTGCTACGGTGGAGGCGTTGACATGTGCAGATCGTACCTAGCTAGTGTGCTCGTCACGTGGAAAGTGCCGGTAGTTACAAGTTAAAATCTCCGACAAAAGCTTCTCGAAAATCGCTCGACTTTGCTGCCAATAAGAAGACGTAGCCCCCGTTTATGTGCATCAAGACCCCAAGCGAGTCTTGGGTCGTTTCCGATAAGTTAAGGGCGTGGATTGCGGGTCGTTCCTGTCAATGTTCCGTACGACAGAGGAGACTATATCATTCGAGATTGAACATCAAATGAATTGTCTTTCCTCCCCGACGAAAACCGTAACCACAGCATTGAACCACATTAGTACTGCCGTCGGAAGATACAAGGGCAAGGTCTTCTCTGCGTCCTCAAATTGGGAGAGAAGAGCTAGCCAGTTCATCTTCAACGAGATCTTCAACGAGGATGGTACCCTTCGTGGTTGTGTCCACGCAGATGCTAGACCAGGACTTTGTCCGTATCGCCTTCGAGTCAGCGCGCAAGGCGGACCAGTATGCGAAGCTCTGGATCAACGACTGCCACCTCGAGAGCAGCATTTCCGCTAATGCTAATCTCAGCGACTTCAAATACGTGAAGAGAAGCTCGCCGGTGGCATACCAAGCGCCAGTGGGATGTAGGATTGTCTGGCGAAGCTCACCACTGCCAGTGCAAAACAGCTTGCTCCTAGCGAGTTTGATATCGTCAACTCGCCAGCAAACGAGTACTTCAAGGCCGAAAAAAGCTCGTCGCGCTTTTGAGAAGCGTGTCAGAACCATGGTATGGGGTGCGAGACAGTCGACGATGTCGGATTCAGTGAACAAACTTTTTGACCTTCCCCTGAAACCAATCGAAATATTCTCTGGCCTTTCCCAAACTTCCCTCGTCAACCGATTTTGATATTAGAAGGAGGTCTGCTCTCTGTGTAGGATGCCATCTTCCGGCACAAGCAGCGTATCTCCCAGCAATGGCCTCGTTCATAGCGACAGAGCGAGAGAATGCCATCCAGACATTTGTCCCAGCGCCGTGAACAGGATCTCTAATGAGAGGCCTAAAGAGGTACGCGGGACAAGGCGCCAAATGTTCGTTACATAATTCCCTGGATTTCCTGCTATGTGGACAACCCCCAAGTCGCTCTTACGGCGGGCAAACTCAGAGGCCCGGAACCAAGTCGCAGCTTGGATGAAGGATACAGTTCATTTTCGTCCTTGACAATGTGGCTATCTTATAGGAATCCTTCCGTATACCGCCTTCGGGACTCGTCATATCGACAAGAAGAGAAGCTGGAGAGACAACTTGGACACTATCTTTCGGACCAGTATTTGCCGTTTTAGAGAGAATTGCTATCGTAAGTTGCGTTAGTAAGTAATGTCCCGGGGAGTTGATGCCGAAGTCGTATGCGCAGCCTTGGCACGTCGTATCTCGCGCCAGCGCCCGCATTATCGAATAAGATACCAAGCCTATCCTCGCCGTCCAAGAATTCTTTTGCTGCGACTTTGACAGTTCCTCGCCGCTTCGGGTTCTGTACCGCATCAGGCGTTAAGGCAATCCTAGCTACGACCCTCGGTACGTAGGAATACTACTACTCGAGTGGATACTGCCAAGTGGGTATTCAGGGATATGAGAGCACGACCCTTGTGAAGGAACGTAGCCTTACGCAGATCCTTCGACAGGTATTCCCCACGCCCAATGCTGGACGTGACTAACGATATGAAGCGCCATGGTGATAGACACCTGAAATACCTACGTCGTATACGTGAATAGGTAGGTCCCTAGTTATACTCATTACACAACCCTGCCCTTCATCTGCTTGTCTCTAACATTCAAGTTCTTCCACGCCAGCGCACATGGAATCGTTAGCGTCAGGACGGCGCATGCGGCTATACACATACGCTGCATGCCCTCGCCGTACGCATCCATGATGGCCACGCGGCCGGGTGTTCCCCACTTATATGAGAGCTGCACCACGAGGCTACCGAAAATCTTGCTTGTCTGGTCCTTGAGTCCGGGCGGTAGGTATTTCTGGAGGAGGCCTGGCATGCTGTTCGTCCAGATCCCGCCAGAAACTCCAAGTCCGATGGTGTCCCCGACTGACGTGAACAGAGCTAGCAACGCAAGGACCATGGCCACGTTGGTGTGCTCGGCAGCGGCCATGATAGCGATCTTTTCAGTTACGACAAGTGTCTAGTGCTAGTTAGCTCTCGAACTTGCCTGGGGTGTAGAAGGTACAGGTACTCACGCTAGCTCCTATCGTTTCGAGGACCTGGCACATCGCTACAAGTCCAAGGGGTGTCCCGGGCATCCGATACTTAATCATCAACCCGGAGCTCATCACCAGTAAGGGTGCTGCAATAAGCGCCAGCCATTTATATCGATTAGTGACGCGAATCAAGTATCCCACGGCAAAGCTCCAGGAGCACGAGCCTAGGTTGTAGATGTTGCCGATCCAGCCCGCGTCTTTTATAGACAGCCCGGATACTACCTGCAGATGGCTTTGAAAGTATGAACCCCAGCAACGTGACGCTACGAACATGACACCGCTCATGATACAGGCGCCCATGACAGTGCGGTCCCAGAGTAGGTGAAACGACACTAGCGTTACCTTGGCGAAGTACTTCTCCCAGACACCGAAGGCTATGAGTGAACAGCCGCCTAGAATGATCATGTTCATGATCGCGGCCGACCTCCATTTATCCGTCTGGTATGTGGCGAGTGTCAAAGGCAAAATGACCAGGGAGAAGCCCGCCACAATAAGAATCATACCAATCACTTTCACGCCGTTAGTGAACATGCCGAATAATATGATATACCT